TGCATGGCATGACCGGAAAGTGAGCTGGATCAAACACGTGGGCTGTCATGGCGGCCAATTGGTATACCAGACTGCACTGGTGTGTGTGGACATTGAGCGTTCTGGTGCAACAAAGCGGGCATTCACCTCGGCCTGACCCGAAGTTGGCAAAGCCTCTGACCATTTCCAAGTGTGTGTTGGTCGGTTTGATCTTCTCCTGATGGTGGTCCCGATAGTAACGGGTCATTGCCTTGGCATGGACCTGTTGGTTGCAGAAGGCACAGCGAGTGGCAAGCTCTAGGCACAATGGCTTATCCAAGTACAGGCCCATGTACGACCTGTGTCGAATGTGCATGGCCACTTCAGGTCTGGACACAATCGGGATCACCAGGGCCTGATGCAAGTCAAAAGCTGTGCAAACACGTTTGTTAATGTGGGTACGCAATGTCGTCATGTTGGAAAAATGGGTCATGCAATGACGACAGACACTAGTGCCATCGAATGAATCGCGCAGGGGATTATATACATCTTCTGGCAAACATGGGATGTGGTGCATTTGACGCATGTGCCGCTTCAGTATCCCGGCCTGGTTAAACTGTCGATGACATTCCGGGCACTCAAGAGAGGGATCCTGAGCATGAGGTTGGGAGGAATCACTCGGCGTGTCTAAGTGGCTCGTGGGATAATCTGGGGTCAATGCAATCACATCGGGAGGTCGGTCATCCATGGCAGATTCGACTGCTTGCTGAATCTTGTGCAGCAACGATTGGCGCAGTCGAAGGTTGTGGCTCTGGAGAATCGCCCAGGGAGAAGGTTGATTCAGTCGACAAAACATGTCCTGTGTGGATTCATGTGTTAAGTGAACAGGGGCCCTGATCATGCGTCGATAGTGCACATTAATGATGCTAACTATCTTACGAAAGCCTTTCTGGGTGATGCCCATTTCATGAATACCATACATGAGCGTTGGCACTATGCATTGATGGTACAATCGAAACCTGATGTCTTGCGGAACACATTGGGCTGTGAGCCACTTCCTCAGGGTCGGAAAACACATGTGAGCGGCCTGTGCACGTCGTGCTACTGTGTCCATTTCCCATGCCCTGTATCCTATAATCACTCCAAGGTACGCCGTTTTCGAAACCATGGGCAGTCGGATCGAGGAGTCAGGCATGGTCAGAAAAGGACCAGCTTTGGTGCGGACAACCCACCGTTTGGTGAATCGGTGTGCCCCTTTGCCCACGGCCCGAAACAAGACAACACTCTTGTCAAGGTTGATGGAGAAGCCATACATGCGAAAGACTCGAAGAATGTGGTCCAGGTCTGACAGGGCAGTGAGGCCATCGGCCAGCTGACTAGTGCGCCATCGCAAGTGCACGTCGTCCGCATAAATTATGACATGTTCGTGAATCCACTGGTACGAGTATCGAGCCGCCAGATCGGTGAGCACCAAATGCATACAAAGTGTCCAAAGGATCGGACCGTCTTTTGATCCCTGACGAATCCCTCGAGTGGCCAAAATCTCACCCACTAACTTTTTATGCGGTATATAGTATTTGTGGGGGGACAACAGTGTGTGAATCATGGTCTGGAGATCCGGGGGCAGTTGCAAGCCTAGAATGGCAAGGCTCACCGTGTTGCGGCTGACCGAATCAAAGGCCTTATTCATGTCTAACGAAACCTGCAGGCCGCCAAACATGCCATCCCTTGAGTTATCCTGGCTGTACATGTGACAGTCGTCGCGAACCTGTCTGCAATGATGCGACACTCGAAGCAGACAATCAGCAGTACTCTTATTGGGGAGATAAGCATACAAAGGAAAGCAACGAAGTTTGTCGATGGTGTATTGCAACAGTTGAGTGGTGACAAAACTCGAAGCAACTTTACAGACAGGGTGTTGAAGGCATATCGGCCGAAGTGCTTGCGGTTTCGTGCTGGGCTTTCCCGGTTTGGGAATGAGATGCAGCCATCCAGCCGTCCATTCATCAGGAGCTTGTGGGGGGGAAGCGCTCCACCAGTGAGCCAAGGCGCGATATGTCGAACCAACAAGTTCAGTGGCTAAAACTTTCCAAACAATGGCTGGGAGACATGGTGGAGCCACGGCTTTGGTGGCAGGCAGGCGCTGTAAGGCTGCATGCACGGTGCTCTCATCGAATGGCAAGACCTGAAGTGCGGGCAGGGCCGTTGGTTGAAAGTCTGGATCATGAAACTGAGTCCCAAAGTATTGAACCAGTTCACTAAGCTCTTGTGGGGGGCTCAATGGTTGTCCATGACCATCAAACATGTGAATTCGCTGGTACCGTTGCTTGGGACAGAGCGTGCGGATTCGTCGAAAGAAGTCAAATGACTGGTGCTTCATGGCCAAGTCAGCACCTTCCCGGAGGAAGTTTTCGAGTTTGGTCCGTTTATTGATCCGGCTATACTTTCTGATTTGTTTATGCAAAGTACGATAGCGAGTCAATTTGCACCAACCCTGAAACACGGACTTGAGACAACAATTCGGCAAGGCCAGGACAGCCTTCCGTGCTAGCCACATCTGGGCACTGAGTGATCGAAAGACAGGATCCACCTGGGTCTGTCGTTTGACTGACGGGAAACATTGCTTACACAATTGTACAAGACTTCGTTCCAATGCCAGATTATTATCGATCGGTGATGACTGAACTGCTGTGGTAGCAATGGCCTGTCGTGCCTGAGTCAGGAAGGTGTCCCATTGCGGTGTTTGCTGAGTCCAGGCCTGTCGAAGGCGGAACCGGTTGATGCCTTCATGGTGTTTGGGATTGGGAGTTGGGTACCATTTGGACAAATGGAAGCTCAATGGATAGTGGCGTGGGCCTTGATTGCCAAACAAAAAGTCGAAGTCAGGGTGATGCTTCGATTGCATTCGGCTCCAGGAAATCTGGTCCTTGCGCATCAACACGAAATCGATTCGAGTATTATGATTACCATGCACGAACGTGGGATGGAATACCCTAGTGTGAATAGCTGCCATGCGGTTATCCTGAACTAGTGCGCGGAACTGGTCCCGATCAATTTGAGCAGCTTTGGCATACTTGGGATCCTTGGTGAAAATATGTTGACCATCAAAATCAAGTGGTGTGTTATAATCACCGCCTAATACCAGAAGATTCCGTGTTGGGGTATGGTTGATGCAATTACGAAGGCAATCCCAAACTCTTTGGCGTTTGTTCAACAATTGCGAAACGTTCTTGCCTGAGTTCCATGGATGTTGATAGATGGCATATATGTCGTGAGGGCGGTACAAGTGCAATCTCACCTGCATGATCCTGCCGGGGATGTGGTGTGCAACCGAGATGGCTTCTCGTGAGATCAGGGCTGCACGAACCACGAACCATCATGAGAACTGAAGCATACCGATCAGCCCCATGTAACACATGCCATTGAGGGGTACTCCATTCACTTGTCATTCCCCATCCCGTTTCCTGGGCGATAATGATGTCATATGGTAATCGATCACACCAGGCAAGCCAGCTTGGATAGTGCAGCGATCTTGAAGCATTCCACTGTAGCACTTGAAGATGGCGTGATGCGGGAGGAGGGGTCGGATTGGATACCCGAGGGCAGGGGAGCTGTCGACGACGCTGTGCCCATAGCGCTAGCGTATTCGAAAGGGCACCTGTGCTAGGTACAAGGCTTTATTGCGATACATGGCTAGTCCGTGATCCAAGGATCGAAAACATGCTCGAGTATACGATCGTTTTAATCGGTTGCACCGATTCCGAGACTAGACGAAGCCTAAGCCAGCTGACGAAGCCTAAGCCAGCTGTTGCCCATGCCCCGTGATGTTTCGCCCGAGGTGGTGGAGTATCATGGACATAAATCGGGCTCACGCGCTCTCCTGAGGCGGGAAAGGCAACCCCCACGCCCGGGATGCAAGCATAGAATGCTCATTTCGGTCCATCCCGCCTAGACTTGGGACCAGGCCTTACAAATCTATGAAGTTCAAAAGGATGAGGAGCGAAAAAGTGGGGCTAGGCATGCTGCGGACACTCACAAGCAACGCATGGCACGAAAGTGAAAATAAAGAAAACCACGCCCGACGCTCCCTTTCTTAATCTGCAAATGGCGCTTACGCCCAATACGAAATTTATAAATAAGCCATATGCCCAAAAGTCACTCGATAATCATCATTCTATTGAAAGAAATACATTTATTACGAAAATTATAAATCGAAATAAAACAATTCCGAATCCCTTACATCACGACGCCACAACGAAAACAAATAAAATCCACATAAATAACGTCGAAAAACATACATACACTATAAATATTAACGAATTAACTTACCATAAAAAATCCTAGTATATCCATATTACTAAAAAAAATAAACATTAAATATATTATAAATATTTTTTATTTATAATTACATCAAAATTAACTTAATTAATTTAAAAATAATAAATACAAAACATAAAACAACAAAAAAAAAAAAACGCAAAGAGCAAAAAACAAAAATGCAATATTCAATATAAGAATTTATTCCTTCGAAAATAACCTATCGTAAATTTATATTCATATATATTTTAAATTTAAAAAATATTCAAAAAATCTATTCCAAAAATATAAATTACTCCATAATTCATATCATCGAAATATATTAAATTCCCAAACAATTAATATATTTCATAATATAAAATCTAAATAAATATAAAATCATAAAAAATATATAAAACATTTTCCAAAAAAAAATATTTTTTTTAAAAAAAAGGGAATTTTATATTTATAAATCAATTCCAAGAGAACAAAAAAAAAAAAGAAAGGAATTTATATTAAAAAATCAATTCGAAAAAAAAAAATAAATTAAATAATTAATTATTAATTCCGAACGTACCAATATTTACTTCGCAAACCAAAATTCACCCTAAAAAGCTACCTTTCGTAATATTACAAAGCAATAAATACATATTAATAAATAAACATACTTATATTATATTAAAATTCATAAAATTTATTATCTAATCATTACTTTTATGATTATAAAAGTAATATATATTTCATAATTTTTAAAGTTTAAAATAATATCGCTTCTTTGGCGATTGACAATTAATCATAATCATTGCTCATTCAAGGTCACAGCTGCCAATGCGCCCGAATTGTCATCTGAGAGTTCTTCCTTGATCTCCTTCAATTTTCACGCTTCCTATAACCACCCATCGGACGATACCAATTTGTTAAAAACCAACCCAGAATCTTTTTACCGTCTGCGAATTGGAAGCTCTCTAGGGGAGACGACAAACTGACTTGTCCTTACAGTTGGAGGAAATAACAACAGCAAAGCTTACGAAAGACCCAAGAGCTTGGGGCCCGCCCGGAAATGAAGAAACTATGTGAGAGAGTCGGTTAGATAGCGCGCAGACGCGCGCCTGCACACACACACACACACAAACACGCACGCACACGCCCGGGATATTGCGTACTGAAACTGAATGCCACATGCTACATGCGCGCCTGGGTATGCAAGCGTAAGAAACCACGAGAAAGGTATGTAAAGCGTCTGACCATGTCAAACTCATCTCAACTGAAGGCGCAGAAATAGGTTTAGACTAAACAAACAAACGGATGAGGCTTTGGACATGAAGAAGGGGGCAAGACAGAGCGGGTGTATGTGGTTGTATTAAAAGAAACCAAGTGACCAGGAACGGCCAGATGATACCTCATGATAACGACCTGGGCGGGCCGGACCAATGTGTGTGCAAAAGACAGAAAGGGATGAGGAAGGATATGAAGACAGAAAGGACATGAAAAGAAAGAGGAAAAGAATGTGTGTGCATGGGCGACTCGTGCCGTGCCAAAGGCTGCCTACTTGTTTCCCTCTCTTGTCACTCAAGCCAAGGATCGCGCCTGTTTTCACTCCGCTCCCCTTTTGCAGATTTGCGAATCCAGTGAAAAACTCAGCCCAAGGCATCCTACTCAAGCGTATTCCGCATTTGACCAACCTCTTGACGCGTTCAACCACTGAAATCGGTCCCAAGGATTCTTCAGGGCTTGGCCAGTTGTTTGACCAGTCGACGGAGCCGATGTTCTGGCCGTCTCTTGCAGCGCACTTGCCGCTGCTCTTTCTGCCCCTTCAGCTGCCTCGTTAGCAGCTAGTGCAGCAGCTCCTCCCGCCCGCTAGCGAAGCACGAAGCGCACCTAGGTGATCTTGTAGCGCATGATGTTGTCCGCCTTCGGCAACCAGTTCGAAAATGGTCAAGCTTCCCCAGAGTGTGTGCTGCGTCCTTCAAGAGCTTCGTGAAGGATGTTGGAGTGTATGGTCCTCCAGGACGGTTGCTGTTCCCATCAGCCAGGCCAGTCGCAGCCACATTGTCACTATAGATGACTCACTCACTCCAACCTATTGTTGTTGGAGAGCGGCTCCCCCAACATGACGCACAGCAAAGCCTCCGTGGCTCTTCCAGCTGTTAGTGCTTCACAATAGGAGACCAACTCCGACTCCGCATTGCTATGCGTCGCAAAAGTTCTTGCGCGCTGCGGTGACCAGTGCCTGACCATAGGCGATGTCCGCAAACACTTCTAGCAATTGATTTTGATCCAATTCCCCTTTTTGTTCACTTTCAGCGTCTCTGATCTTGAAGTGCGGAAAGGCTATTGGCTCCCACGTTCCACCGAGCGAGAAGTTCCTGCTCGCACTTGTGCTGCAAGATATGGAAACCATGCCCTCCTCAACTTCAAACCTGCAGAAATGCACAGGTAGGTGATGCCCACTCGACGCTCGAGCTGATGTGGCCTGCAAAGATGCCAGGGCCGCGGCGATGGCAGATTCTTCACCTCACAGCAACATGTCACGACAGAAACTGCATCAAGCCAGACCACAGCTGCTCCCCCGACATCTGATCAGTCTCCGGTGGGCTTTGGTGGAGCGTGCTTTGGCGGTACGGGGCCCATGGTTTGGGCTTCCAGGCATCATGACCTCAGTTCCCTTCGCCCCACCATGACCTCGCCCTTCTGAACTTCTTTGACTTGAAAAACAATTGTCCACCCGTGCTCGATGCGCCCCGACCTTTGCCTACGCCACCGGCGATGCTTTCATCCTGCACCGCCTCAAAGTCCAGATCTCCATCTTGTGGGACCGGGAGATCTTCAGGCCGGTTGTGCTGACCACCACGGGTTAACCGCAGCACCGTTCGAGCCCGGGGTCGGGATCGTGAGGGCTACAAAACGTGTGACCTTGGGCTTGTTCACACCGCTCCACACAGGAGACCCGTAATTCATCAAGTCTTAACTGACGTTTGCCCTAGGGCTCCTTCTGTCCGCTCTGGACACCTTGTTTCTCAGCACAGTCACGGGGCGCACCCACTCCTCGGGTTCACCCTGGGCTGGCGCAAAAAAGGCCAGACACACTCGACACAGAGCGCGCTGAAATTGACAGCCACATGCCACACGCCCACCTCAGTATGAAAGCCTAAGAAAGAAACCAGGAGTAAGGTATGTAAAGTGGTCGGGCCATGTCAAAATCATCCCAAAAGGCAACAAACCCGTGACTGCAGTGAGGGAACCGCTGCAATGGCCAAATTCTTGGTCTAGTTATAGACGGGACCAACAAGGAAATGAAAGCCAGAACTCTACAAGTACGCAGTTGGACATCTCCACAGGTGACTGATGAGCGTCTTTGTTAGCACCGGTCTCATCAGCATTCCCAGTCACAGTGCCCCCTGCTGAATAACAAAATCATGATCAAAGGATTCCCTGTGACTCAAGGGGTTTCGCGCGCGGACACACACACACACACGCGCGCACCAACAAGCAATGTATACCAACCACGTCCACCCAACTAACTGACAACCTCATCTAGATTGCTTGGTTCGGCGCTCTCCTCCTTCACCTCCTGCTTGACACGGGCTCGTTTTCTCGGCGTCTCCTGCTTTACCTCCTCCTCCCAGGGGGCGGAGCACGAACGTCTTGTTGTTATACCTTGAAAAGCGCGACCGGTGCATGCCGCCCGTGTCCTTCTTCACATCCTTTTGTTTCTTCTTCGCCTCATTCCGATCGAGACCCTGCCCGCGTGCTTGCCCTCAAGACGGTCGAGGCAGCTGCCGTCCACTGGCCCTCGGCAACCCCAACAACAGCAGCAGCAGCAACAACAACAACAACAACAACAACAAGAGGGCTCAAACAAAAACTCAAGCCCTATCAAGACATATCTTCTTTGTACTTTGTCTTTGCCTTGGCTAGAAACAAAAACTGAAGCCCCGTGGTTGTTTCTTGCGCTCCCCCTTGCAACGAAGACTGAAGCCACCCCCCTGTTGTTGACGAAACAACAGGCGTCAAAACAAGTCCAGGTTTTTACGAAACCCACATTCCTTCAAACCTTGGCTAAGAAACCCAAAAACATCAAAAAGACAAAACACATGTAAAAAGCTACAGCCCTGAAACGCAACTTTTTTGCATGGCTCTACGCCCTAACTGGCCCTGGTGGTTCCCAAACAACATATTCAAATGAGGTCCGCAATGCAAATAGCACCCACCAAGGCAACTGAATTTGAGTCACGTTGTCCTTATTATGTGTTTTCAAGAAGCATTTTCGCGAACTTGCTATATTTGGCGCTGTGGCAAAATCAAAGCAAAGGCAATTGGGCCGCAAAATCAGAAAGCGCCCTCGTGGACGTGTCAACAAAACAAACCAAGTGTAAATTTGGATCCCAGCCATAGGCGTCACCTTTTTGGTGTCGTATTCACCTAATGCAAAAGCTGCGGCGCCCTTGGAATCCATGATTGCCTTGCAGGGCATCTGTATCCACTGGTGGCACCACAGTTCTTCTGGCGCCACCCTTGGACATGGCTTGCTTTCAAGCCCGCCCTCAAAAACATGGATGCACATGTAAGCCTAATGCTGCCAATGCATGTGGTCTTGTTTGAAAATGAACTGCCTGAGCTGATAGCTCATGGCTAGGGCACCATGCAATCTTTGCTTTTGACCTTGATCTTGGCCTTGATTATGATTGTGATTGGTCTGGATATTGATCATGATATCGGTCAAAAAAAATTGTCTTTTCGCCAAACAGTGTGGACGCACTTGGGGGTTCTTAGGATAGTAGTTAAGCAGCTGTGCTTAGATCACTGGGGCGCGCGGACGTCAACGGCCAACTCACTGCTATTTACAATTCATTCATGCCTCTCGAAACAGTCGACGTGCATTTCGACTGCGCAGGCTCGCGAAATCTGGGGGCCCGCGGTGGTTGCTTCTTCGCGGCTGCGCTCTCGTTGTGGTGCCGCGCGCATTTTCGCACATGGTGGCTTTTCGTGGCAAGTGCAAGGGAAGCCTTGTGTTTTGGTGGTCCAATGTCGACTTTTCGTGACAGGTGTAAGGGACCGGAGCGGTTTTACTTCGAAATGCAGATTTCGTTTCACAGTACTTTGGACATGGTCGTGATCTTCGAGCCGCTCTGATTTCGTGACAGGTGCAGAGAATCGTAGCTTTTGGACACTTGGCTCTTTTGCAGATTTCGTGGCAGGCGCAGGACTTCGTGGACCTTGCAGATTTCGTGGCAGGTAAAGCAGATTTCGTAGCAGGCGAACCTCGAAGTGCAGATTTCGTAGCAGGCACAGCACTTTGTGCTCTCAGATGCTGACTCTCTCGCTCTCACTCTCACCCTCACTCTCGCCCACTCACACACGCTCACGCACACTCACACTCACATTGACATTCACACTCACTCTCACTCACACTCGCACCCACACTTACTCATACCCACTCTCATCCACACTCACTCTCACTCTCACTCTCACTCACACACTCACTCACACTCACACTCACACTCACTCTGCCTCTCACTCACTCTCACTCTCACTCCCACTCTCCCACTCTCACCCTCACTCACTCTCCCACTCTCACTCACTCTCACTCTCACTCACACTCACTCTCACCCACACTCAGTCACTCACACTCGCACTTACTCACCCTCACCGTCACCACAATCCCCAACTTCATCACCACGCGTCTACTCTAGACTTTCTCCTTGTAGACCTACACACACTGTTTGGGGTGTCTTGCCGGGATAACTTTGATTTCCAACATTGAAGAAAAGCAATCCTACGATTGAAAAATCAAGTGACATTTTTCAAACAGTTTTTTTGGGACTGTACGTGGAACCCGGAAGAAACCGTATCCCTAACTTTGCTTCTTTAAAGTTCCAGAGTTGCAACATGTGACGACTACGCGGGGCGGCTGCTGTTGTTTAAACACCAACACTAACACTCACAACATCAACAACAACAGCAGCAGCAGCAACAACAACAACAAGGGTGTCCGCTCCATGACCGCGGTGGAGCCTGTGCCAATTCAAGGAAAGTATGTTGATAAAGCTGCAGCTGTCAGGTTGAAGGTTTCAAGTGCTATTGGATGCGTGGAAACCTCGCACTTTCTTGTGGCTGGAACCAGCCGTAGTTGCGGATCCCTTTCCATGTTTGTTGCGTGTTTTTTCCCGAATGCGTAGCGAAGGGTTCTCGTTTAACTCTTGGGGGTCTGGGGGTAGAGCTTTGTTCGCGACCCGTTGCTTCTATGTTCGCAACCGTTGGCAACCGTCCGCAACCGTTCGCAACCGTTCGCAGTAGAGCGCTAAGGCGCTGCCATTGGGGGAAGCTTTTGCAAGTGACTTTTCATGGATGTGTCACGTGTCAGTTTGCGACGCTATTCCATTGTGATTTGCATGAAAATGACATGTCGCGCAAGAAGCGTGATGCATTTCGCTGCACAGGCGCAGCGTTTTGTGAGATCCTCAGTTTGCTACGCAGTTCCATTGGGATTAGCATTTGGAGAGTCGTGTTTTTGGGGTGTTGGATGTGGCCGTGCCATTGGGATTTGCGTTTCAGGGTGTGGCATCGAAGCTCTGTTTTCGTGACAAGTCTCAGCTGAAGTGGCAATTTTGGTGGATGGGAGTGTGCTCAGAACGGATCGAAATCATTCCAAACGTGTGGTGTGGTGCAAATTTTGTTGAAGCTCACATGAGATGATATTGTCACTTTTCGCGGCAGGCGCAGTACTTTGTGCGGGTTTTGAGGCATGGTAGTGTGATTTTCGTGGCAGGCGCAGGGAATCGTGAGGTTGCGAGGTGTGACGGAGGTGACATTGCGTGGCAGGCGCAGTACTTTGCGCGCGTTAGACGTGTGGACGCGGAAAGATGCGTGGCAGGCGCAGGGAATCGTGAGGTTGTGAGTTGTGGTAGAGGTGACTGTCGTTGTCTCATTGGGATTGGCGTGTGAGCGGGTGTTGTTTGGAGGGGCTGGAATCGCGAAACTGCTTGGCAGGGCTGCGTGATGTGTGTGCTCCGATGGGTGTTTCCGCTTGACTTTTGGAGGAAGTCTCGTACGAAACGCTCGTTTTGGAGACTTTGACACGTGAGTATTTGAGGAAGTCTCGTACGAAACGCTCGTTTTGGAGAGTTGACACGTGACTTTTGGAGGAAGTCTCGTACGAAACGCTCGTTTTGGAGACTTGACGTGTGACTTTTGGAGGAAGTCTCGTACGAAACGCTCCGTTTTGGAGACTTGACGCGTGACTTTAGGAGGAAGTCTCGTACGAAACGCTCGTCTTGCAGCCTCGAAGCGTGACTTTTGGAGGAAGTCTCGTACGAAACGCTCGCGTGACTGCTTCTAGTGTGCAGACCGTGTCGCGACACGAGTGTCCCACAAGAGTGTCCCACAAGAGTGTTCCACAAGAGTGTCCCGCAACCGTGTCCCACAAGAGTGTCTCACAAGAGTGTCCCTTAAGAGTGTCCCACAAGAGTGTCCTATAAGAGTGCCCCACAAGAGTGTCCTACAAGAGTGTCCCACAAGAGTTTCCTACAAGAGTGTCACACAAGAGTGTCCCACAAGAGTGTCCCACAAGAGTGTCCTACAAGAGTGTCCTACAAGAGTGTCCCACAAGAGTGTCCTGTAAGAGTGACCCACAAGAGTGTCCTACAAGAGTGTGTCACAAGACTGTCCCACAAGAATGTCCGACAAGAGTGTCCCGTAAGAGTGACCCACAAGAGTGCTTTTGAGAGTGTCCCACAAAGAGTGTCCTACAAGAGTGTCGCGCAAGAGTGACCCACAAGAGTGCCCCACAAGAGAGTCGAGTGCCCCACAAGAGTGTCCCACAAGAGTGTCCCACAAGAGTGCCCCGTAAGAGTGGCCCGCAAGAGTGTCCTACAAGAGTGTCCCACAAGAGTGTCCTACAAGAGTGTCCCGCAAGAGTGTCCTACAAGAGTGTCCCAAAACAGTCCCCCCCAAGAGTTTCCTACAAGAGTGTCCTACAAGAGTGTCCCACAAGAGTGTCCCAGAAGAGTGTCCCGCAAGAGTGTCCTACAAGAGTGTCCCGAAACAGTGCCCCGCAAGAGTTTCCTGCAAGAGTGACCCACAAGAGTGTCCTACAAGATTGTCCCACAAGAGTTTTCCACAACAGTGGCCTATATGAGTGTCCCACAAGAGTGTCCTACAAGAGTGTCCCACAAGAGTTTCCTACAAGATTGACCCACAAGAGTGTCCTATAAGAGTGCCCCACAAAGAGTGTCTTACAAGAGTGTCCCACAAGAGTTTCCTACAAGAGTGTCTCACAAGAGTGTCCTACGAGAGTGTCCCACAAGAGTGTCCTACAAGAGTGTCCCACAAGAGTGTTCCACAAGAGTGTCCTATAACAGTGTCCCACAAGAGTGTCCCACAAGAGTGTCTCACAAGAGTGTCCCACAAGAGTGTCCTACAAGAGTGTCTCACAAGAGTGTCCTACGAGAGTGTCCCACAAGAGTGTCCTACAAGAGTGTCCCCCAAGAGTGTTCCACAAGAGTGTCCTATAAGAGTGTCCCACAGGAGTGTCCTACAAGAGTGTCCTACAAGAGTGCCCCAGAAGAGTGTCCCACAAGAGTGTCCTACAAGAGTGTCCCACAAGAGTTTCCTACAAGAGTGTCCTACGAGAGTGTCCCACAAGAGTTTCCTACAAGAGTGTCCTATAAGAGTGTCCCACAAGAGTGTCCCACAAGAGTGTCTCACAAGAGTGTCCCACAAGAGTGTCCCACAAGAGTGTCTCACAAGAGTGTCCCACAAGAGTGTCCTACAATAGTGTCTCACAAGAGTGTCCTACAAGAGTGTCCCACAATAGTGTCCCACAAGAGTGTCCTACAAGAGTGCCCTACAAGAATGTCCCACAAGAGTGTCTTCTAAGAGTGTCCTACAAGAGTGTCCCACAATAGTGTCTCACAAGAGTGTCCCACAAGAGTGTCCTACAAGAGTGTCCCACAAGAGTGTCCCGCAAGAGTGTCCCAAATGAGTGT